ACAATGCGAGGTCATGGTTGGCAGGGCTAACCGGACCTTGTCGTGCATCCACAGGTGCATCTCGAGTAGAGCCAGGGAGGTGATCCTCCCCCTCTATGCGACGCTGGTCAGGCCGCAGCTGGAGTATTGTGTCCAGTTCTGTGCGCCCCATTTCAGGAGGGATGTGGACAACATGGAGAGGGTCCAGAGGAGGGCCACCCGCATGATCCGGGGACAACAGGGCAGACCCTACAGTGAGAGACTGCGGGACCTGAACCTATTCAGCCTCCACAAGAGAAGGCTGAGGGGGGACCTGGTGACCGTCTATAAACTCACTAGGGGGAACCAGAAGGGTTTGGGGGAGACGCTGTTTCCCCTAGCCCCCGCTGGCATAACAAGGAGTAATGGGCACAAGTTGATGGAGAGGAGGTACAGATTGGACATCCGAAAAAATTACTTCACAGTTAGGGCGGCTAGGAGCTGGAACCAACTTCCAAGGGAGGTGGTGCTGGCCCCTACCCTGGGGGTCTTTAAGAAGAGGCTGGATGCCTACCTGGCTGGACTCATTTGAGTCCCGTTTTTGTTTTTAGGGTTTTTTGTTGTTCTCCCGCCCTGGCGGGGGGTCGGGCTAGAAGATCTATTAGGTCCCTTCCGACCCTAAAACTATGAAACTATGAAACTATTTACCTTTTTTTTAAGCTACAGATGTTGATTGTGCTGAAATCAAATAGTCTTAGTGGGTGCATCTACACATGCAATTCATGTGACTGAATAAACTGGAAAGCAATTCACGCCACAGTAAACTACTCCTGGTGCAGCGTCTGCATGTGTATCCGGGACAGCATCAAACTGAGCCAGGGAGGAGCAGTTTAGGCCAGAACTGCTCCTGCCCTGCTCTGCCCCCCTGCAACAGCCAGGGGGAGCTCCAGGCTGCAGCCTCAGCTGTCCAGGGGCAACCCTGGGCTGGCAGGGGGTATGGACATCAGGCCTGGGCTCCAGTTGATGGCAGCAGTGTAGCCTGAGCTCCTGGGGGACAGCCCCAGGCTGGCAGAAGGCACTAGAGGTCAGGCCTGGGCAGTTGGTGGGTGTGTTGGGTGGCGGAGGAGCTGGCTGGGTCACAGGGCTCTTGTAGCTGCCAAGCCATGTGGCAAGGCAGCTGGTAGGAGCATAGCCCCCTGCTGGCTGGGTTGACCGGCTGCAATTTACACCCAGGTCAGCACCTGCGTGTGCTTTGCTGTACAGTAAATAACTGCAGAAGGATAGCAGTCATATTTACAAGTACTGCCCTGCTAAGGAGTTAATTAATTTCCTGTGACCTAACAGGGCCCCATGTGTAGATGTGTGATATTTACTGTGGGGCTAATTAGTCTACTCCATAGGAAACATCTCATGTAGATGTGCCCATTATAATTTAGGACAGGGATGGCCAATCAGTGTCATGTGTGCTACAAGTGGTATGTGCAGCTGCTGTGAGTAGCTTGTGAGGGCTTAGGACAGGGCTGCAAGTGACTAGCAGAAGAGAGGGGAAGGGCACAATCTGGGGTTGGAGGGGTGCATTGTGGCTCGTTGGGTATGTGTTGCCTGTGCTGGGAGACCATCCTGTTCCTTGTGCCCTGCTCAGCAACAAAGTTAGCCCGGTTGGAGGAGCTGATCCCTGCCACTCTCATTGCCTGGCCCCTCTGCAAGGAGGTAAGCACTAACCACAGCACCCATTCCTGCCCGGGGCAGGGGGTCAGACCTGATGATCTGTTTAGGTCCCTTCCAACCCTAAGCACTATGCAACTATGAACCTATGGAACTATAATATAAAAACTAGTTTTTCAAACTTGATGCTACTCGATTCACAAACGTTTTATGGAGAGGTACCCTAAATCAAACAAGGGATGCCTCAAGCTCAAAAGGGTTGAGAACCACTGCGCTAACAATACACAGCCACTATTAGAAAACTTTTCGCGTCTTCCTGGGAAAAAATACTCTAGATAAGTTTATTGCAATACAGGGATATATACCAACTTAATCAATATACCAAGAAAAAAATAGTAACTTTAACATGCAACCAATAAAATAAGTAAATGTGCACCAAGCTACTTTGAAAATCCTGTAAACAACCATAAAGCTCAATCATAGCAACAGCAATTAGGGAAGAATGTGATATGTCTAGTTAGTGCTGCCCTGTTTTATAATCTCAGAAATGCTTGCATAATAGCCTGTGTACACCTTTTCAATATACAAATGCATTTTATGGGCTCCAGCAACTCTAGTGTGCTGGTGGCAACACAGCTCTCTGTCTCTTCAACAAATGCAGACAGTGGTATTGCACATTTTGTCACAGCCCCTGAAAGTGATATGCTATGCGTAGTAACATGAACACTGCCTAACATTCCTTAAAGTTAGCATGTGCTGTGAGCAGTTGCATGTTAAGGGTTAGTACCCTTTCTAATGTGCACAGCTCATACCCACTGCTAAAGGACTGACATGTAGAGGGTATCTAAGAGCTGTCAAGTACAGAACCCTGCTTGCTGGTTCTCTAGTGGTGATATATGCTCAGGATAAGGTCTGTGGTGGCCCCCAGCCCAGATTAATCTTATGTTACCACTGACGGCCTGTAGTGGGCCCAAGTGAGCCTGGATCAGGCCTGCTCCTGCCAGCTTTAACTGGGTTCCCTCTCTCCCCGACTCATCTGCTGAGATGGGCAAAATGGTAGATCTGGCTCAGAGGCGACTGGTAGGGGGTGCACGGGGGTGCATGTGCACCCCCTGAAGGGGCTGGTGCCCCCCCCAGTGGCCGACACTGACTCTGTCAGTAGGGCTGGTGCCTTCCCTGACAGGGCTGCTGCCATTGGCGGCTTCTGCGGGTACCCTCTCAGATTCAGGAGGCACCAGTCACTCATGATCTGGCTGGTGGCCAGACTCCATTTCCCAGCAGCCCCCACTCAAGTCACCGCAGCCAGTTTCCATGAAGACCCCAGTAGCAGTGGCACTGTGGCAGTGCAAGGCCAGGGTTTCTATGGAGACCAGCCCCAGCAGTGCTGGTGGGTGCATGGCTGGGTGTGGAGCTGGGATCCACCCCAGGGCTGGGGCTGGGATCTTGCAGCAGTGATAGCATGGTTCAGAGCTGAGGCAGATCTGCGATCTGCTGTCCACATGGCCCAGGTACCCTTTTTCCCCCTCCCAGATCTGGGGCGTTTGGGCAGTGGATCACAGCTCTGCCCCAGCCCTGGACCATGCTGTCACTGCTGCAAAATCCTAGCCCTGGCCCCAGACCACCTCATCACCCAGCCACATGCCCTGCCAGTGCTTCTGGAGCCAGTCTCCATGGAAATCCTGGCCAAATGCTATCACAGCGCCACCACTACTGAAGTTTCCATGGAAAATGGCCACAACGACATGGATGGGGGCTGCTGGGAAAATGAGCCCGCTATGGGCCCAATCTAGCCTGCAAGCTGGACTTTGCCCATCCCTGCCCTAGAGGTGCAGTGTAGGGGCTGGGCTGGATTTAGCTGGGAGAGTGATGCACTAGACAAGGTATTAACTGTTACCATCAGGGCCGTCCCTGGGGGTGTGAATTGGGGCAACCGCCCTAGGCTCTGTGCTTTGTAGGGCCCTGCAGAGCTGGGTGGAAAGGCCACAGCTGCAGTTTAGCCCACCTGCCTGCCTGGCGGGTTGGACAGTTCTTTGCTTGTTCTACCCAGAAGTTCCAGCCACCACCCGTCCAGCCACGTCCGGTGTGCCAGGGCTTTCACTCCCCAGCGTAAGTGTGCTGTGGGATGGGGTAGGGGGCCCCGTGCAGGCTGATTTGCCCCGAACCCTGCTGGGATCATCTCGCTTACCATGCAACTGCTTACAGCACATGCTAACATTTAACACTGCCTAACAATAGCAATTAGCACTGGGAGAGTAGCAGTGGTGGGTGGGTTCTTCCTCCCTGCCTGCTCCAGGGCTGAAGAGGAACACCTCAGGGAGCAGGCAGGGAGGCAGAACCCACCAGTCACTGCCACTGTCATAGCTTGAACCCAGACCTGGATTGGCCCTGGGCTGCTTGCTAGCACCCTGCTCCCAACCTCTGTGCTCCCTTGCCTTTTCCCCCTTCACTCCTCCCCCTTCATCCCAATCCTACCACCTTCCTTTCCCTTCTTCACAAACCAATGGCTGCCCGGCCACTCCTTGTAATCCCGGATCAAGCCTGCAGTGTCTCCACAGAGCCCTTCCAAATCAAGAATGTTAGCTGACATGGCTTGAAGCTGCTGAATCACAACTACCTCGTGTGGACAGACACAACATTGATCTTTCCAAGAATGTCACTGATTAAGAATGGGTTCACTTTTCAGAGGTGTCCACGCATCCACTGCTAAGGGTTCTGAGCAGAACGGTCATCTTTCAGGCACTGCCATGTTGTTGAACTGCCACTTAGGGATGGGAGTGAGTACCTAGCCAAGCATGCCTCAGTGGCAACTACCTGGAGTTTCCCCATGATTTCCATAGTAGGGGAAGGAAGACCCCAATTGACTGTACATGGCAAAGTGCTGCCTGGGCCAATGCTTGTGCATATTCCAGGAATTCTGGGGCTGCCCAAAGTCTCTGCCTCAGGCTGCAGCTTTAAAAAGACTTCCCCTAGATAGCTGCTTTATTAATTTCAATTCATCCCATCCTCTCTGTGAGGTTGGTAGGTGGGTGGGTGCACCCTTAATGGTAAACATCATTAAATGGTCAATTGTTAGGTTAGGGAAAACTAAGCCACTGCACAATGAGCCCTTAATACCACCAAATGATGGCCAATTCCATGCTTGGTCAAAGTGAATGTCTCTATGTGGTAGGCTGTAGCAGGCTGCAGGAGAGGCTCCAGCCCAGCTGCAAGTGGTAAATTAGTTACAGGCTGCTCTGGAGGACTGGGCCAGCTGAGGGTGATAATTAACAGCTACAGGAAGTAAAAGGTTCCCAGGGCAGAGAAACTAGAGAGTCAGATAGGAAGTAAAATAGTAGTTTGGCTAGTGGCTATAGTGGTGTACTAGGGGCTCTCAGAGTATGGGAAGAGATGCAGGGGCTATGAGACTGGGAACAACAGCACCACAGCAGAGTCACAGTCAGCCTGAGGGGGAAGGTTGCAGCAAAGAGCTGGAGGCATTGTCTCAGGGGCTCAAGAGACCTCAGACCTGTAAGTTAGCCCTTTATAGACTTTGCTTGGGTTAAAGGTTGAGGGCCAACTGATATAGGAAGCACCTGTGTGGTAGGCATGCCTTGGGAATACGGGATGTATCATGTTTGAAGACTGTATGAGTTAAGAAAACCCCTGAACCAGCTATAGACAAAGGACTCTCAAAATTCCATGGAGCAAATTGGTGGAAGAACTCAGACTAGCACATTGCTACACTTGCCTTCCTAGAAAGAGGAGATTGAAGAAAACAGGTAGTGGTACCTCTCCATTTCTCACAGAAGCTTTCTAGGCACACAGGCTGCATTAATTAATAGCAGACTACATAGTGCAGAATTCTTCCCTGATGCTTTTATAGGGAGGTGGAGAAGTCTGATAAGTGAGAGACCCCAGTTGGGAAATAAACTTATTGTGAAGTTGTGGTACCATTTATGCCAGGTAAACTTTTGAGAAGACATAGAATAATACAGAAAGAGCTGCCTTGGAAATCAACACTCGGATCTTGGCATATATTTGGATTAAGATGAGGTGTCAAAGGTAGAGGGTGCATTGACATGAGATGTGTTCTTTCAGCCAGGAGGCCTATTGCCATATTCTGCAGAAGCTGCAGCCTCCGTGGCAGTTATCATAAGCTAGTAATGAAACAATACAGCCAGACTAGCTGATGTTAATATACCTTAGCTTTTGGACTGTATTCTTTGGGAGAGTTTGTTTTCCTTGACTGTCTTTGTCATATTTTGCCAAGAGCTAATTAAGATTTATTAGTGCAAGAAACCACAAGAACAACAATTTAAAGCAAATTTAAAAAAGAAATGAGAGAGGCTATGAAGCATTACATATATCATTAATTCTCGCAAAATGTTTATTATCAGTCTGTAACAGATGTCCTTCAGTCATGGCAGTAAGGTTTGCCATGACTTGTGCTTTCTTCACTTGATAGGATGTCTTTTTTCACAAATCATAACGAGTTATGATGGGTTTCACTTCTGTCTTCTGTTAAATTTGGTATATAAATGCCCTGTTCACCATGTACCCTGCAGGATACTGGAAAATCAATTTTAGATTGTATTTAATTGAACAAGAGAAAGCAATACTGATATCTTCTGCATAGCTGAAGAATCTGTATATATGCATTGAATAAACCATGATACATCTTGTGTGCAAGGCTCTGAATTGTTCCCTACCACCTATTCCAACTAATGGAAATAAAAGTTGGGTCCTTCATCTGGCAAAAGATAGGGCTGAGTTCACTATTTTTAAAGAATATTTTTCCCCCTCAATCATTACCTTTTTCTGTTTAAAACATATCTGTAAATATTTTGTACAATTCTCAAATGAAGTATTCCAAATTTCTCATTTCATGAGCAAATAATTATTGGACTGCAGGTTTACATACAGTTCATTAAAATATTCATGATTTGTGCTGTGTGGGTCAGTCTGGTAACTCATGCTATATGATTTCTGTTCCTGAAGAAGCATAAATAGTTAAATAAATAAATATGAATTTAATACACTTCACTATGAAGAGAAGAGTAAGTTCTTCAAAGACATAAAATCAATGCACAGTTATAAAGACTAGTTATAACTTAAGTAACTGAAACTTTAGCATTTGTATTGTTAATTAATTTGTGTTCTGCCAACTGATCTGCAACAATCGGATTGATTTAAAAAGAAAGTGAGCAAGATTTGATTTAAGATTCATGCTTAATTGGCTAGAAAGTCCTGTGGTTTTCTCAAAAAAACCTGTTACAACAGCTGTCTTCAGACTTGACAGGAGCTAGCCTTGAAAAAAAAAATAGAGTTCTTACTGGGTTCTACATCATAGATTCATATACATTAGGGCTGGAAGGGACCTTGAAGATCATAAAGTCCAGCCCCTTGCCCCAGGGGCAGGAAGTCAGCTAGGGTCAAAGGATCCCAGCAAGATAAGCATCCAAACATTTCTTGAAGGAGTCCAGAGTCGGTGCCTCCACCACTTCTGGAGGGAGTCTATTCCAGGCCTTGGGGGCTCAGACAGTAAAGGAGTTTTTCCTTATGTCCAGCCTAAAATGGTCTTGGAGGAGTTTATGACCATTGGTTCTTGTTATCCGTTGGTGCACTCTGGTGAACAGATGTTCCCCGGATCCTGATGAACACCCCTTACGCACTTGTATGCAGCCACCAAGTCACCCCTGAGCCTGCACTCTTCTAAGCTAATTAGTCCGATGGCTCTCAGCCTCTCATCATAAGGCCTATTCTCTTGCCCTCTGATCATGCGCATGGCTCTCCTCTGGACTCTCTCAAACTTCTTGACATCTTCTTAAATTGTGGAACCCAGAATTGGATGCAGTACTCCAAATGCTGCCTCCAAGGCCAAGTACAGCGGGAAGATGACATCCTGAGATTTACTTGAGAAACATCTACGGATGCAAGCCAGAGTTTTATTTGCTTTACCAGCTGCGACATCACATTGGTGGCTCATGTTTATCTTGTGATCAATTGTGACCCACAAGTCTCTTTCAGCTGCGGTGCTAGCAAGCGTAGTACTGCTGAGCCTATAAGCGTGCTGCAGGGTTTTTTTGCTGAGGTGGAGTACCTTGCATTTTTCGGTATTGAACATCATCAGGTTTATATCTGCCCACTTACTAAGCTTATCCAAGTCAGCCTGGATCATTAGTAGCCTGTCCTCAAGTTTTGATGCTATGCCCCAAAGTTTAGTGTCATCGGTGAACTTAGCCAGTGTGCTTCTGACACCAATGTCCACGTCATTGATAAAGATGTTAAAGAGAACCTGTTCAAGGACAGAGCCTTGGATGACACCACTGGTCATGGAGCGCCATAATGATTCACTTCCATGGACTACATCCATCAACTAAAAACATCAGTTTTTACTATCTACAAATCAAGGGTTCAAGTAGGCCAAAATTGTCAAGGTGTAGCTTTCTGAAAATACAT